GCACCACAAGAGAGTTTATTTGTATAAGTGAAGCTAACTGATGGAAGGGAAGAAAATATTCAGCTAATCAGTTAAGTACAGTAACCAGCAAATTGATAAGGAAGTTACTCTAACATGTTACATTTGTTATGCTGCCAGTCAGCAATTAAATAATAAAAATGTGACCAGCGTTATTAAAAACAAGATAGCAAGAGACCATAATAAGCAACACAAGTCAATCTTTATTGAAAACTGAATACATAACAATTCTTGTTACAATAAACGTGCTTTTAAGAATTTAAATCTGAGCTCATCTACTTGTTGGATTGCATAAAAATAAAAAAGTATGAATTTACACATAATTGAACTGGCTCAGAATGGAATCTCCACTCCTTTGTGTGTTGATGCAATAGTTCAATGCAGAAGTGAGTGATGCTTTAAAACTTATTCTGGAAGACAACATTTACCTAAACTTAAAAAAGTACCAATATAACTGCTTGTAAGACAGTTTTAAAAAAAGTCATAAAAAAGGAAACCTGTGCCTATTTTGTAACAAACATGGAGAACTATTACTGGGGCCTCTTGTACTTCTGATGCATGCACTCACCCTCCCCCACCCCCAAAATCGTAGATATGAGGGCAGCCAATAATAGCACTACAATAAAAAAAAAATCATTAACAAATCCGTTCTACTTGAAACAAGTCTGTACAGCAGCCAGCGAAAGAAGCTTTCCCAGTTTGCCTGTTAAGTCCCAAAAGTCACAACAGGCCTGGGAAAGTGACGTTCACTTTTTTGATGTTGGAGCTTCAGGCTATAAACTGTTCAGAATATTTGATATTACAAGTGGACTCAACACTGTGGTAGTCCGATAATTCCAAATGTCACATTCAAGAGACAAGGGAAGAGATTTCTTCCCCCCCCCCCCCCCCCCAATTAAGCATTGTTCCTCCTCCATGCCAGCCCCCTCCTCCCCTCAACACTAGTGGCCTCATCTCATCTCCTCCCTACACACTCACAGGGTAAACAGCACCTACTGGAAAGTCCTCACTAGCTTAGAAGAGGAAATCTTTGAACCCGCCTGAACATTCTGAATGAGGCATGTTAGTGAAAAATGATCCTACCTCACTGCACTGTTTCCTTATTAACATTCACAACTGTGTGTACAGAAGGCTTACAGTGGGTAAAACTTATCTGCTTAATGCTTCCTTAATTAGAAATACATGGATAAGTTTAATTCTTCCTTATTTTTTTAACAGGTTTTCCATTAACAGAATGCATTTTAAACTGGGGATTAATGGATTGTTTCAAACCTCCACAAATAGTAAATTATCCTAGAGTGACACCTGCTGGAGAAGAGTGGGCATAAAATAGGTGTATTTTCTAAAGACACCAGCCCAAGCTTCTTTCTCTGGTTAGTTTCAAGTTATGCAAATAACAATCAGGAAATCTGTCCTCTCTTCCCAGAAGTTTAACTGAAGTATCACCTCACTGTTTCTGTGCCTATAAGTGAGGGTTTCACATAAAAGGTATTTTCTATTCTCTTATATGGTCTTAAACCTACAGTTAATGATTGTGTCAAAAGATTGCTGCATTTCTCCATTCTGGCAAAATTAACATGTTTAAGGCCAAAATCAATGGTATCCAATACTGTGTCCAAGCACTGGGGGAGCTATTCGGAGTCAAAATTCTGAACATTTTTTTGGCTCCGATACGGTAAGTGGCCTATTCTCTCTGTAGACATTAAGCTAGATTGCTCTGTAAAGACTAATCAATGTGGAGTACCCTGTTATACATATCTGTACCATGAACTGTAAGTCAGAAAACACTAAGACATGGTTGTACTTACGGGGCTTTTCAGTGGGTGAGGTGGCAGGAGGAAGGACTTCAACTGAAACCCAAATTATGAACTTTTGTCATCTATCGCTGCATCTAAGCCCTTAACTTGCATAGTACACTCAAAAAGCAATTCTGTACGTCTTCTAAAACTTCAACAGGAAATGGTTGGTTAAAATAAGTTTATAAACAAGATTTAAAATAATGAAGTAGTTCTATTTCCTTCCTATTGGTTGGTTAATGACCACACTACAGATTAGGGCTACCAGCTTCTGATGCCAGTTATTTAGCCATTTTCAAGAATGACTTGATTTCATTGCTACATTTAAGAGACACAATCAGATGTTACCAACACGGGAAACTCCTCAGCCTTAACAATACTTTGTTTAAATGCAACACTTGAAGTTAGATCCAAAATTTATGTTGGACTTCTCTTATATTATTGCTGTAATAGCTGTCTTCAATTACAGGTTTAAAGTAGTAGTATTTTTATTCTATTCTATGAAGCTGCCATAAAAGTTTCAGAGAAGCTTGATTTGAACTGGTTTCTACTGCAGTACAGCCCTTTCATTTTCTTGAAAGCTCCAATGCAACCACGTACTGTGTCTATGTGTGTAAAGCTATACAGGATTTTAAATAGGGAATGTAATAGAAAAATCAGGAGAGAATGTTTCATAAGACCCCCACTGTGTAATGTATGATTTTTATCACAGTTTCATATCCATGCTTTCCACTATTTGCAACAAAATGCCATTAAGATTGTTTATATACACACCACCCCTCCCCCACCACTGTGCTTTTGGTTACTCCCTTAAACTACTGGAGAACAGCTCAAACCTCCCATTAGTTTATATCACATCTGGAAGGTGCAATACCTTTTGCAAGAAAAAAGGTACAATTTCCCCTTTGTGGATGAATCCCATAATGCAACTTAGAAAAAAGTGCTCAAGCGAGACCCCCTAAATGTTATGGAATAGTACTATTAGGAGACAACAATTCCAAGGAAACATTTAGGAATCTGAAGTCAGAGCAAATATATAGGACTTTATATTCTTTCCATAACTATTTATCTAACACAGTATTCATGAAAGTTCTCTCCTAGGGTTTCAAAGCTTTGTTATCGCTGGGAAACAAGACTGGAGACAGCAAAGCTTAAAACTTGTTCTCTATAGCTTCTCCCCAAGACAGCATTGTTTCACACCTCACAAGTATTTTTATTAAAAACATACAAAGACAATGAAACTCTCACTCTAAACTAGCTACACTGCATTAATGTTCACTACAGCCTCTGGAGCACTTGACCAGTCAATGCTGCAAACCTACTACACAAATGGAATTGTTAAACAGACTTGAACAAAGCAGTACAGATTCAAATAGTTTGGGGTAATTCTCTGCTCCATATACAAATATATGGAAATCCTTAAGCTGTAGTAAGTGCTCATGAGTAAGTTTTAAAGTACTTATAGTTAACACCATAGTTATGTTAAAGGCATTAGCAATAAGGGGTAGTCTGTTTACAGTGATCCATGCAAAATAATCCTAAACTTTATAAAACAAAACATGGAAGTAAAAAAATACGAAGAGTGCTTATTGTAAAAAATAGTTACTGAAGACTAACCTCTAATGGGCATTCAGGTGCATACGCCTCCCACCAGGGTAGAGTATGGGAATGGCAGCATTAAATCAGCACTGATGCTACCCTGAAGTAGCTGCCAAACCTGTAGAAGGAGCAGACCACCTCAACACAAAGCCCAAGTCGATACACAACTTTAAAAAAAAATATTTTTGGATGGAAATTAGACTACAAACACTCTACAGCCTGACATACCTCTATGTAAACTCTTAAAAGGGAACAACATTTTATAACCATTTACCGCATAATTTATTGCAGGCAGAATGTATCTTGGAAAAAAATTGCATCTTACTGGAATCATAAATCAGGCAGGTTTCAGAAAAACCTTGATTTTGTTGTGCAATATTCAAATTTAAAAATTTAAAATCTTTCCCATAATGATTTTGGTATACAAATGGGTTCCAAGGCTAGCCCTTTATCCCCACAGCATTTGCTTTGAGGTACTTTTTAAAAATTGAAGCTGCGAGCAAGAATACCAGAAATGACTCATTGCAATGAAACACTAATTTGCAGTCAGTCTTAATTTGCATGCTTTCCAAGTGCAATTTAAGAGGTAAAAGAAGGAAAACCCAGCAATTACATCAACAATTTTGTAACCAATGAATGACTCCTACTATGATCAATTACTTTTTTTTTTTTTAAAAGGAAAAACTTTCTGAAATCTCTACATTCCAACAGCCCTGCTATACTGCACCCATAAACCACATTGCATGTAATATAAGCTAAAAGGAAATTGTGTTAAAATGGTTTGTTCCCCTTTAATACACTTATCAAGCACACAAACTTTCTTCAGGATAACATGTAGTTGAACTCCTCCTGTTGGTTGCAGAAAACCCTAGCATTTCTTAAGTATTAGAAAAGCAAGCTGCGTCAACTGCACATACATTTTCAGCTGATTAGAACATTTTTTAGGAAAAAACAGAATGGATTTCCTGGATTGAAGCCAAAGAAAATTTGATTCTATCACCATGTATTTTTTTCAGGAGCCAGAATTCATTTTATATATACATATATGGTGTTACCACCTCGTCTAATGGCGCAGATTTGCCTTAAGGATATGGGCAGCTTGGAAGGCTGCTTTACTCACATTTTTCATTAACTGGCCACACAAAACTTCATTCACCATTCCATTCTGATCCTTAAGAATGTCCGCATAACACTGCATCCATATAATAGAAATGAAAGGGTAAATGTGGTAAACTAATTCTGTGCAGGATTTCTACAGCTCATCAGACTCCGTTTCCAGTCACTCCAATTTGCGTTAGCTGAATTTAATTAGAAAGGAATACATCACTTAAATAATTTTTTCCCCCTTTTAACTGGCAACTCCCTCAACCCAAAAAGGTTGAAGCAGTTATCTGATGTATATTATGGTATTCTATAAAGAAATTCACTTTCACGATTCTACCTTTTAAGACCCTGCATATGTTACAACAGTGCATTAGCGATACAAGTTGTAAAATACTTTTCGGTTCCTTTGGATTTTGCATATGGTTTTTGCATCAGTCACTGCATGAGCAAGCTTTGTTTTTTTTGTTGCTTTTTTTTTTTTTAAACATGCATTCAACTAGATATGGATCAGAATAAGTTTATACTCCCTTTTTTATCATTATAATTAGCTAAAAAATTGCAAGACAGTCCACAAAACAGGATTTGCTTTAAGACTAACTGCTGGAGTTCCAAGATGTAAGATATGCAGCACTGGAAAAATCTTCAGTGATCTGGAATTAGTAGTGTTTAGCAAAGTGTTGAAAGCATTCAGAAGAAAGAAAGTCCTGGTTGGAGGCATGAGGGCTTCAGCACCAACTTTTAAACCTCAATTACTTGATTGCATATCTCCCATCTTCAAACCTACATTCAGAGAGAAAGAGGCAAGATAGATACTCATAACTATGTTGTACTTTAAGCAAGTAACATCCCAGAATCTAGTTTAATGCTGCAAGCTCTACACTGTTATGCATTTAAAATAGATTGATTTTTTTAAAGGCAAACTATAACCTCATGCTACTTTATAGCAGTTATGCTGTAAACCCACCATCCACTCACAGCCCCTTCAGTCACCAACTGGGGTGAATCCGGGGACAGCAGCTTTTATTACTAGAAAATCTTGCGTTGACTAGACTTTTTTTAAAAGGTCACTGACAAAGTATTTGATTTAAAAAATATTTGTTAGCTTTTGAATTTTCCCACTGAGGAATTTGTAGCACACTCAAGTACTTCGTACTTCACTGCAACAATCCTGAACACAAGACCCTTTGTTTTCCTCACACATCCAACATCCACTGAGGTGTTATTTTTAAGTAGCTTTGGCAGTGAAGAGATTTTCCTACAAATGTCATACCCCAAATGCTATTTATAACATGATTGCTGGCACAGATTTTGTTACAAAAAAGGACTAGGTTTTCGGAAGCAAACCCCTCAGTGACATTCCACGGACTTCACAAGCAAAAGAGAACAGACATTCCAGATTTGCCAAAATCCAAATAAAAATGGCTAACTGCTCCAAATGCAGGCAGTTTTTAATACCACCACTGAAGTGTTTTAAGTCAAAGCATAATACTTTTCGTTCACATCTCATTTGAAGAAAACCTTTAATACTTAGCAACTAAAGCACTGAGCAACTGAAGAAATTACCTTAAGAAAATCGTAGTTACTAAAACTGATATATTTGGAATGAAGTAATAAGATGTTTACAAATAGACCTGTGCACACATTGTGTTTCATATGAACGACACTCCCTTCAGATAAGCTTATACTGGTGAAGTTTAACAATCATTCCACTGCGATATTGCAGAAATTATATTGGTCACATGGTCATAATGCTGGCCTGGAGTCACAACTTATCATGCAAAAAGCCACATATATAGGTCAGCAGAGCTAAGTGCTAGTCCCTGCTCAGCTAATCTATTGTGGAACCCTAGAAAAGTCACTTTACTTCTTTGCCTCAGAAGAACAGTACAAAGGAAAGCATAAAATAAGATTTGCAGATGAAACATGCTAGATGAGAGTTTATTATAATGGTCCCAATCGTATAGCTTACTCCAGCAAGGTTTCCACTGATGTCATTGGAAACTTTATGTAAGCAAGGGTTACAGAATCAGTCCCACTGCACTAGCTGCATATTGAAAGGTTATAGGTGGACAATGTGTACATTGTTATATGCAACTTATCCTTAACAATTCTGCCCTTGTGCTCATGGCACATTGTTACTTTAACCCCTTCAGATATTTAAGTCAATACCACTGAGGGGTTAGTGGTAGTGGTAGCTTCTTTTTACAGATCTGAGAACTGAGGAACAGATGTTAAGCGCCTTGTTCAAAGGGCACACAATGAGCCCGTGGCAGAACCAGAACATATCAGTGAGCTCCTGACTTCCAATCACAGAAATGGGCATGGAAAATAGGGGACAGTTAGATTTTGTCTTAACTTGTTATAAACATTTAACAGAGCAATAAATGAAGGGAGCCAGCCTGATTCTGCTCTCACACTGATTTTATAAACATATAATTTACACTAGTGGAGTTACTCCTGATTTGCACTGGTGAAACACAAGCAGAATCAGGCCCCCAAAAGAGTAAGAACAATAAGCCGTGTCAATTTTAAGCAGCACTCCCCATTGAAACTAAAAAAAATGTATAATATGCTGGCTTCGTAAATTAACAACTTTTTTTATCAGTAGAAATCTAGAGCAGATTTCACAAGTCTTTCTCTCTCCATGTGTAGTTTAAACTGTGTTACAGACTGTAATGATTTTTCCATGAAGACTATAAACAGTTAAAATTTAAATTTAAACCCACCTGAATTTGGGTGATAGGAATGATCAGATTCTTATGCTTACTAGTAAATGGCCTCTCTTTCTGGGAAATGTTCATCCATAAGGAAATATGAAGTGCCCCTTTATTTATACTGATCCAAATAGCCCCCTTATTTAAGCTGATCCAACGTCCATGTTTTACATATTTTTTCACTCATGGATCAGTGTTGTTGGATTCAGGAATTGTCACAAAACTCAAATCACTGAGCAAACTAGCCTGTTTCCATATAGACCCCACAGGGCCTTGGATTCAGCAAACCTAACATTTCTACAGCTGTGCAAATTAAAATGCTGTATTTTGAGAAATAGATCATTTGGAATTCTATATGCAGGCATCAATGAGATGAATATGCAGAAAAAGGAAGTCTCATCAGAAGACAGACACGTGTTTAAAAAACATCCTTCCTCCTACACAACTTAATCAAAATGAACTGACATTTAGACAAAATAGTCTACTTATATCCCTATTCACTGAATTGGCATATTGTAAAATTCCCCCAAATATCTTAATGCCTGTGAAATCTCCATGAAAGAAGCTGCAGTCATGTAGTCATTTATATACAGGCCACTGTTTCAACTGTAGGCACTGATAACTTACGCTGCCAGAATAATCACCACTGTGGGGGCACATAGCTATAGGTTGGTGTTCCTGGAGCCCGATATGTGGGCATAGTAACTGGATGAGGGGCGACTGGAGTTGGGGAATGAGTTGTCAACAAAGTACCTAGGAGAAACAAAACATTTTTATATTAAATATTTTTCACAAATATGCCTTTCAACACTATTTAACAGTCATTTTGAAAACCAAAATCATATTAATCAGAACTTGTACATCTTTTGACATATACTAATATGAAACTTCTGTGAATCTGTATCTTAGCATGTTCAGTTCCATCTACCTTCCTTCAAATGCTTATGCAACAAAAGCACTTTGATATTCTGTCCAATGCATTTTTAGATATTTTTTAAGTAGTGAATAACTACTTAGCAGCAGCTCCAGACCATAAGCACACATTATACACTGAAAAATACTTTTCCTCACAGCAGGCTCTGTGTGCTGTAGGAACACCTGATGCAAAAGAAAATTGACTAGGGTAAGTATAATTTAGTTCCTGTCTGTGCAAATGGGTTTTATAGTCAAAGGGACTGTAGAAGGCAACAGACTGGGACCCCGGAATCCTAACAATTTCCTTCTACAGCACTTCACGTACAAATTACTAATGTTTAGTTGCTGCTGCTTACCCCACACAAACAAAGAAACTGGGAAAAATACAAAGATAATGAAGAGAGCACACAGTGCTGGTCCTGAAAAAATATCCCCACCAGGGTTGTGGGATACCTGAGGTTAGAAAGCTGAAATCTGTAGTTCAGTAATCCAGAACACTATCATGTAACACGATCATTAGTTAGCCAATCTGAAAACTTTTAAGTGGTGCGGGGAAAAATAGATTTCTTACACTGTTGATGCTTAAAAAACAGCATCACTCAAAATTCTGGGGAGAAGCACCCCAAGTGTATATTAATTCTGTACTAGAAACAGACTTGTTTCTGAGACATTTAATCAAAGACACCAATTTCTTCAAATTGACAAAGTCGCTCAAGTTCTAACATAGCTTAGGGCTAATGCGGACAGGACTGCGTGTTCTGTAACTGTGCTAGGGAACAATATTACGACCTAGGTCTTAGTCATAAAACTATGTTGTTCTGATAACACTAAAAACACATGTTAGAACATGGGCACCAGTAACTGACAGTCAACTGTGCTGACCACAGTTGTACTTGCATTATGTCCAGGCCCAAAAGCCTTCCCTCTGAAAGTGCAGCTTGGGAGTTCTTGGCAGTTCTGAGCAATGATTCTCTATCTGATTAACTAGAATGGAGAGTTCACTTAGCACTCAGCCTGGGAAAGAGAACTGTACCCTTTAATTCCCAAACCCCAAGCGACTAGAGGAACAAAAGCCCCTCTTGATGATCTCTTGGGCAGCACTGCAATTAGAAGGCCACGTCAGATTTCCTTGGTTTCAATGTTTCTATGCTGCTTACTTGGCCTGATCCAGAATACTAGAATTTTGTAGTTAGAATGGCTTAAAATTCATATACAAGCACACAAACATCTCACATTAAACAAAACTAGTGGTTGTGGGAAACCTATAACTGCAGTACATTTCTGGTAAGGCCTTAACATGTAATGCATCCATACTGTAAGAGATGGACCACAAACCCAAACTGTACTTCATCAAAAAGTGTAAGCAATATAAATCAATCTACCTGCTGACATTGCCATAGTGGTCCCAGCCACCATTCCCATAGTCACACCATTTCCTCTTGGTGGTGGAATTGGAGCAGGATACATAGTTGCTGGCATGCCATTAGGCTGCACAACTGTGGTGTGATGGATTACGTGGGGTGGTGCTGCATATAAAGGCTGCGTGTAGTAAGTGCCTTGCTGTTGGAAAAGAAAATAAGTAAACCTACTAAGTATATTTTCACTATCACATGTACTGAAAGCAATAATTCAACCTTTGAGATGTTCGAGGCAGCAATGTTTTATTCCAGAAATAGGAGTCTGATGTATGTCAGGGACTGGAGACAGAATACTTAAATGCTGAAATAGAGAAACTAAAACTTCAGGGTTGAAAAATGGTTTTTCAGCTACTAACTACTGGTTGGGCAGCCAAAACCCCCAAATATAACCTCTCTCTAGAATTAAGCTGTTTTGTCTCTTCCTCTGCATCTGGATTTTGTGTTTTTGCCCCCTCCCCTCTCATGCCCTGGGGATCCTGCAAGGTTGCTCTCCCTCCCAATAAACGATGTGGCTGAGGATTGGGTGCGTCTCCTTCCAGAATCAGAAGCCCCAAAAGGTTACTACAGTGCAATATGAAGAAGTTTTCTTCCCGCAGGGCCCAAGTAGACCACTTCAGAGTACTGCCAAGGCCCTGCAAGCAAGTTTACGTAAATATTACAACATGCTGCACCCCGACTCCCAAGGGCAGCTCACTTTTCCTAGTCTGAGGCTTTGGCTACACTGGCACTGTACAGCGCTGCAACTTGCTGCGCTCAGGGGTGTGAAAAAACACTGTAAAGCGCCAGTGTAATCAGTGCCTGCAGCGCTGCATGCTCGCTCGCAGCGCTGCAAGCAACTCCCCTCAGAGAGGTGGAGTACATACATACAAGCCCTTAGTTTTCATCTAGCCCTGCCCCAGCTCTTTCCTCCTTGCTTCTACTTCTAACCTCTCCATAGCATCACACTTATGCCACTGTATCCTAGATACTTGTCTAGTGATGCAGAAGAGTGAAACTGATGCTATCATCAGTTTCATTATGCTGCTTCAGCTGGGCCATAGGGGAAGTACTCTGTATGGAATGTCAGGAAAAGTGTAGTAGAGACTGAGGTCTCTCCTACCACGTGAACAATCTCGCTTCTGTTCCTGTTTTCACAATGGCACAGTAGGAAAAGTGGAGTGAAACTGACCAGGACAGCATCAGTGTGATCCTGCTATTCCTGCATAAAGGAGCAACAGCAGCTGCCACAATCCTCTCATAGTAGCTGCCACAATCCTCTTTGAAGCAGGGGTTAAGAACTTAAGAAAAGGAGTGCCCAAAATTTAGTTTCCAAAGCCAGACACAGGCACTTTTACAATTTTACCTTAAGAGATTTGGAAGTTAACATGCTATTTTTACAAGTGACTTAGGCACTTAGACTCTTAAGTCTCACTGATTTTCAAGTTTCCAACTTACATAATGTGACAAACACTTTTCAAAATTAGGTGACCTATTTAGATAACTAAAGCTAACATTTTCAAACGTGCTGAACACAAGCTCACATGGACTTTAATGAGTCCCTCAACACTTTTGAAAAATAAGGCCATGTATTCAGATGTCTAAATCTGGACTCAGAAGCCTAATTTTAGGCACCCGTTTTTTAAACTCTTAACTTTAGTGTACTAGTACAGAATCATAGGACTGGAAGGGACCTCAAGAGGTCATCCAGTCCAGTCCCGTGGACTCATGGCAGGATTAACCCTGACAGATGTTTGTCTAACCTGCTCTTAAAAATCTCCAATGATGGAGACTCCACAACCCCCCCCCATGGCAATTTATTTCAGTGTTTAAACATCCAAACAGTTAAGAAGTTTTTCCTTATCTCTCACCTAAACTGCCCTTGCTGCAATTTAAACCCATTGCTTCTTGTCCTATTCTCCTTCTAACAACCTTTTGTGTATTTGAAAACTTATGTCCCCTCTCAGTCTTTTCTTCTCCAGACTAAACACCCATTTTTCCCCCCCCCCCCCCCCGATCTTCCCTCAGAGGTCATGTTTTCTAGACCTTTAATCATTTTCGTTGCTCTTCTCTGGACTTTCTCCAATTTGTCCACATCTTTCATGAAATGTGGCGCCCAGAACTGGACACAATACTCCAGTTGAGGCCTAATCAGCGCAGAGTAGAGCAGAAGAATTACAAGGGAGAAGCCCATCACTGTGCACAAAATAAATTTACATGCTGGACAGGCAATTAAGTTTTTTTTTGTTTTTTTGTTGTTTTTTTTTTAAATACATGAAGCATTTTGGTAACAAACCCTCAAAACATGTAGAAATAAGCGGTCATCTTTATTTCATGAAACAATGAAACACAACATTGAGAGTTTCGACGTTTACAATGCATGCTGAAAGCAAGCTACTATTTGAACTGGCACAAAACAGTTGAGGTTTACTTTTTACCTGTGCATATGGATTTTGCTGTGGATAGGCACTTCGAACCGGATACACAGCAGTCTGGTAGGGGTTGGGTGATGAAGAATAAGGTGGCACTGCACCACTGGTGGGTGAACAGGATACTTTATATGGTGTTCCTGGTGTATAACCTGAAACAAGGATAAGTCTGCTTTAAAATGCCATAGGCAAGACAATGACCAGAGTACTGCGTACTAAAGTTTGAGACTAATATAACTGAATTTATTATTCTTAACCCTCATGTTTCACATTTATCTTATTCAGTATGATATATTATCATCAATACCTATGCACATATTCTTAAAGGCATTAGTCACATAGGGACAGATATAGTCAGTAATACCTGATTGCCTGTCAATCAACTAATTCACATAACTCACCACTTTCCAATTTACTAATGGACTTAAGGAAGCTGCTTTCCTACAGAAGACTATGAAGAACCCAAAGATCCTCCTGGACTAAGTCAAGTGCTCCAACAGAACAGAAGGAAGGCGGCAGAATGGAAGAGTAGTGCCAAATGTGGCCACACACTGATGTTAGGGAGAGGAAGGACGTAGTACAACACATTCGGCTTTTGGCATCTAGAAAACATGGCTTAACTAGGATCTTTTTCAAGTCTACTTCATGCTGTAACTCACATTTGTTATGACACTGATGAGAAGCTTGGCTCCACCATAATGGATAGGTCTATTTTGATCAAAATGACTTGGAATGCATTAAATGCTAACCAAGTTCCCAGCACACCCCAATAATCATTACAATCAATGATCTCTTTGCAAAGGGGAAATCTCTGCAGAAAACTATGCAATGGCAGAACTACCCTACTCTACAGGTTAGAACTATTTTAAATGGTTAGAAGGGCTTTCTCAAACATTATAGAGGGGTGCAGTGACACCTCCAGCTTGCATCTTCCATTTTTACCTTTAATGATATTTCCTTGCCATTTAACAGCAAATGCCAACATTTTCAGACTTGGATGCCTAAACTAAATTTTAAAATCTAGGCTTCAGTGGTTAAATGCTAAAGTAAGATACAAGTAACATAAGCACATAAGTCACTTAAGAGCTTAGATCCCATTTTAAAGATGGCACTTGTGTACCTACATTTTATTGGTATTCAATAATAAAGACCTTTATACAATTTGTGTGTAGACAAGCTCCTAAAGATCTCTTATGACTTTTAAAATAGATTCATAAAAGGCTTGATCCCACCACAATGCTTTTACACATCTCGGGCGGTCCATAGAAGTGAGCCTCCCTCTCAGGCATGTTAGGAGCTACGCAGTTATTACCCAGATATGCAGTGACTGAGGCATATGCTTTTGGCTCAGACCCCATACACCTGAAAGGCAGATCTGAGATTCCTTGGGCCTACTCAGTGGGTAAGGAGACTTAGGATAATGGAGTCAATGTCTGACAGAGCATGCAAGAAAACAGTGAGAAGCAGCACCGTAATTGCTTACACTGGGCCTTAACTGGGAGAGGCTAGAATATGAACACCCTCTGTCAGCAGTGCATACCTCTGCCAATGGAAGTGGGGCCATACTATGAACAGCCCTGAGGGAGGAGACTAAGGCCTCAAGTCACACATGCTGAATGATATAATTGGCATTCCCAGTAAGGGCACTTTCTGGCCTTGCCTCATGTGGTATGGCTCCATGGAGCTGATGCAAAGTGCTCAGTGTTAACTCTAAGAGAGCCACCAGTGGGTACCAAAAACAGAATCCAGTGACTGGTCCATCTTGCCTTAGACGTTAGAAGTCCATTGGTTATAGATGTGCAGCTACTTAAAACTTGAGTTTCTGTATCAGTTTTGTATCAGAGGGGTAGCCGTGTTAGTCTGAATCTGTAAAAAGCAACAGAGGGTCCTGTGGCACCTTTAAGACTAACAGAAGTATTGGGAGCATAAGCTTTCGTGAGTAAGAACCTCACTTCTTCAGATGCAAGTAATGGAAATTTCCAGAGGCAGGTATAAATCAGTATGGAGATAATGAGGTTAGTTCAATCAGGGAGGGTGAGGTGCTCTGCTAGCAGTTGAGGTGTGAACACCAAGGGAGGAGAAACTGCTTCTGTAGATTTTTTTTTTTTATAATGCTTTTTGAGGAAAAAACCTATCTAAAGATAGTTTTAATTAAGATACATTATAGCTCAAAGATATCTCATCATGTAATAGGGATTATAAATTCTAATTCTATAGTATGAGACAATATATTCATATAACGTGTAAGAAAAGTTTTCTAAATGAGTTCCAATAGCTCATGGATTTATGGGGTTCCAGGGGCTTCTGTATAGATTATTTAGGTTAATCTTTCTATCTACCCAATGGGACTCAGTCTAGAAGATACCATCAGGGATGCTTAGTTTTGCAGTTCTCAAAATGTGGATTTGTGTCTCCAGAGATAACATGCTTATTAACAGCAAAAATGTTTTAAAATATATAGAGGTGAGAAATAACAGATCTCAACCCTACTGTCCCTCTGCAAATTTGTGTACACAGAGTCAATCCCTTACCTCTCTCTAAAAGTGCAAAGTTTCAAAAAGTTCAATAAATAGAAGATAGTTGGGGGCAGAATAGATCTGGACAAGGAGAAGAAGTCTGGAGATAAATGTGAGAAGGGAGGGACAGGCCAAGTGAAACTGTTTGGGCAGCATATTCCAGAAGTCTTGAGGCCTTTCTAAGTGTAACCTTCATTGATTTGAGATCTACCATACCATTCTCTCACTAGAAGGGAAAATCTATAATGTCAGCAGGCCGTAAAAGAGACCCAGTTTGGGAATAAGAACCATTCAAGAAATATATGTTTGCTGATGATGTTTTAAAGAAAGTCACACCAGTGAACTGGTGGAAGTCACTTAAGCATTTGGATTCAGAGACTGCTGAAGTGATAATCTCACTTTTAACAGCAGTAGCTTCTTCTGCTGGTGTAGAAAGAATATTTTCTTCCTTTGGACTAATTCATTCGAAATTGAGAAATCATTTGGGATCTGAAAAAGCAGGAAAGCTCGTTTTTCTTTTCCAGATTATGAACAAACAGGAAAAGGAAGGTGAAGACAACTGAGTTAGCTGCAGAAGCCAATACACCTCCACCCCGCTATAACGCTGTCCTCGGGAGCCAAAATCTTACCACGTTATAGGTGAAACCGCGTTATATCGAACTTGCTTTGATCCGCCAGAGCGCGCCGCCCCGCCCCGCCCCCCCCGAGCACTGCTTTACCGCATTATATCCAAATTTGTGTTGCGTTATATCGGCGTAGAGGTGTATTTTAAGTTTCTCATGTTGACCCGGCAGATATAGTCGATTTAGTTTTTGTTTTTTAAAAATATATATTTCATTTAACTATTTTAATTAAAAACAATTTTAACAAAACCAAACCTGATTTTAAAAAACGTTAATGTTTAACTAAAATTCAAAAAGTCATATGTTTGCTGTTGAAGAAAAAAATCCAGAATACATAACGTTGTTGTTTTAGTTAAATAAAACAATTTAAATGTCTGTCTGGTGATGTTCTCCTCCTAATACAGCATGGCAAGAAAATCCTCCAAATATTAATGATTAACCTGTTGAATTGGAGATAGTTCATCTCCCATTGACTTCATAAATATCTGCTTCAATTACCTTGGTAAATGAAATAACCAAACAATCATTCATTTTCTGATATAGCTGTAAAACTAATCTGAAAAGTTTTCAAAAATAAATCACTTTAAAAATGTATAGTGTGTACCTTCTAAAAATGAAACCTACATCTGAGTTGTGAAGAATATGTATTGAGGTTATAACAACCAACAAGAGTGCACTTTTATGTAGAAATCCATGATTAAATTGAGTCTTCCTGACTAGTGATTTAAATCATGATTTGATTTAAATCAAATACACCCTGTCTTCTGCCTTGAACATACAAGATGTAGAGCAATTTCAGCCATAGAGGACTTAACGGCAATGCATGTTGATAGATATGTTCATCTAGGGCAGAGTTGGGCAAACTACGGCCCACAGGCCACATCCGGCCTGCAGGACCGTTCTGCCCGGTCCCTGAGCTCCTGCCCCGGGAGGCAAGTCCCCAGCCCCTCTCCTGCTGTCCTCCCTCCCCCACAGCCTCAGCTGTCAGGGGCCGGGGGTGTGGATAGGGGTGGGGGGCGGTCAGAGGGCGGGGAACAGGGGGTTGAATGGAGGCAGGGGTTCCGGAGGCGGTCAGGGAGAAGGGGTGGTTGGATGGATCAGAGGTCCCGGGGGGCAGTCAGGAAGGAGAGGAGGGGTTGGATGGGGTAGCAGGGGGCAGTCAGGGGCGAGGGTTCCGGGGACGGTCAGGGGACAGGGAGAAGGGGTGGTTGGATGGGGCAAGGGTCCTGGGGCGGGGGGCAGTCAGGAAGGAGGGGGGGGTTGGATGGGGTTGTGGGGGGCAGTTAGGGGCGGGGGGTCCAGAGGCAGTCAGGGGACAGACAGCGGGCGGGTGGATGGGGCACCGGTTCCAGGGGGCCGTCAGGGGGCGAGAAGCAGGGTGAGTCGGATAGGGGCTGGGGCAGGGGCAGGGGCCGGGCCACGCCTGGCTGTTTGGGGAGGTACAGCCTCCCCTAACTGGCCCTCCATACAATTTCTGAAACCCAATGCGGCTCTCGGGCCAAAAAGTTTGCCCGCCCCTGATCTAGGGTCCTCTATTCCCATGCCAAATGCTACCTCTGCCTGGGGAGGTGTCTTCTGGTTTCTGTTCACAGCTGCCTAGAGTCAAGGACTTTGGCACTGATGTATCAGAGCGTTGCTGTACCTCTCTGCACCTCCCGGATTCTGTGTTTCCAGAGACACAGTGCCCTATCTGATAATCTGGAGTTCAGTATGACCAGTTCATCACCTCAATATACTGGAGGCTTGGAGGTCTTGGTTTCATTGCAGACAACAAATAAGGTAGTCTGGTGGGATTCTGAGCATTTTTTAAAGAAAAAAGTTATGCTTATAAACTACCCTGCCTCAAATTCAAGACCCAACTGACAAAGGCAAGCAGAACAGAGTACTCCACCTGCTGTGCCTTTAGACAGTAATTCAGGGCAGGGACCCGAGATGTGCCAAACAAACCACTGTCCAGTTCCACGTACAGTGATATTATTATTATAAATATAGAATCTGTGCACAATTAGGAGTTTAGATTGCTTACTCTCTGCCCTAGCAAATGCTGCCATTCTCTTCTATAAATGAGAGAAGTTGATGAGTCATTAAAACTCATAGCCCTGCAAATAAGCACCATGTTTCCAGGCATTAACTATGTAAGTACTTACTGACATATCACAAAGTCTGAGAACAGCTCTGTTTGCCCTGTGAGAAATAAGGTTCTCCTGTTACCCCCTAAATTTAAAGTCACTTGTCCAAGTCTTGTGAGTTGGTGATTACTCTCAGTTGTAAGACTTTATGACTGCATTCTATTTGACAGAGCTGTCCCTGGAATCTAACAGAACAACACTTTAGAACTATCTTGTAGAGACAACAAGGTTGTTCGTATGAAGGGAAGAGGACCAAACTATATTCCTAGGTACCATATATTGTTTTCCACAAGTTATAACTAGACATTCAGGGCCAATTTTGGAGAAGTACATGAGTACTTCTGAAATTCTGGCCCATAATGGATTCGAGTGGAGGAGCTCTTGAAGGTGCATAGACAAAAACTAAAATCAGAATAGTATTACTGAATATTGAACTACAGGAGTGACTACAACCATACTTTATGTAATGAGAGTCATGAATAGTACAAATGACAAGCTTCCCAGGGCCAGAGGACCTAATATCTACTGTCTACTTCCTAGAACCGCAGTTTGCAGAATGTCAGGCATCACTTAAATTTTTTAAGGTAAGCTTAAGAGTTAAATTAAGCTTAGTTAAGCTTACATTGCCTGAAAAAAGTTATAATGAAATCACACTGTCCAAGCTGGCTGGCCCCTTAAGAGGAGTTAGGCTCAGCTTGGCTTGGGACATAGCATTTAATCTCCAGCTCATCCTCATCTGGTGACTCAGTTACAACTAATGATCCCACCTATGAAAAGGTCAGGGAGAACTACATAAAGAGGGAAGAGAACTCACTGAGGGAAGAGTTTCCTCTGTCGGGGAAGTGCCTGGTGAAGGCAGGCTGGAGAGACAGGGAGCAATTAGGTTCCTCTGGGAGGCTCTGGAATAGGGCTTGTAAGAAGCAGAGAGGTCCTGGGGAAAACTGCTGGAGTCCTTGGGGAGGAAAGGCAGTGAGGAAACTTGCTTGGAAGAAGAGCCTCCAGGAGAAAAAAACATGGGAGGAAGTACTCAGCTAAAGGAGCAAAGAAGGAACTCTGCAGTCCCCAAGAAGAGGGGTGAAGAGCAGGGAACTTCAATGTAGCCCAAGAGCCCTGTTGGTGTGGATTCTTTGGTTGGACTTTTGTTACTCCAGAAGGGGACACAACTTGAAAGAAGTGACCTCGCTGGAGGACAAGGCTATGGAAGATGTAGCCAGGCAAGCCATTGCATAGCCGAAGCAATGGTCAACAGGGGGCACTGGAGATGAAGACCCGAGCGATGGCAGGCTCCGACACCAGTGGGCGCTACAGTGGTAAATGAAACCACTTACATGACCCATTTGTGACTTAGGCTCTTCATACAAATTCCTCTCCTTCCATCCTGCTCTCCCCTTCTTCTCTTCCCCCTCCTCTCCCTCACCCGCCCTGTCATCTTTGGTATGCTTTACACATCAATCGATAAATACTAAATTTTTCTAGATAAGTTGTATAGCAATATGCAAATGAATAAACAGGCTAGTTTTTCTCCACTATCCTTTTCCCTTTCATTGCTAATGTAGATTTATGCAAGCCATAATATTTTACAAAGGACAGTATGCAATTTCTTATCTGTATATAATATCCCTTTTGAAAAAAATCTAAGGTTTCCTTTCCGAGTGTATCCTTCTGTTGTGATTGGAGATTAATTTAACAGCTACTATCAAGTTTCTCCTTCTTTCCAATATTAATAGAATGCTCATCACATTGAGGGATTCTTCCAGGGATTCTTTCACTTTTGTTCGTTGGCCCCTGTGCATTTCTTCCTTCTTCCCCAAATCCCTCCTCCTGCCTGCCCCTTAGCTGAGCAGTATGAGACTGTTGTTCCTAAACACTGCTCTTTCCCCACAACCCAGTAGGAACACAATAGTAAAGCTGTCCAGAATCATAGCTGTTTCACCCTGTTGCTAGAATTGTTGGACAATCACCGTATGCAGGTGCATGACAGGCACGATCCTGAGGTAGGAAGGGGCACGTAGAATTTAGGAGGTGAAAGATCAGAGGAGGTGATAAAAGGGTATATTCCAGACGCCTTTCTGAAAGAGGAAGGGAAGAGACTTACTGAGGGACATGGAAATAAAGGGAAATATCCAGAGGGTCAGGTCAGAAGGGACTAGTGAAAGATGTTAGCAAAAATTTGTGTAAGGATTTTAACTACCTATCTAATACTTGTCTCTGGCAACTAAATAACTCAAACCTCCCCAAAAACAAGTTAAAGTCCTCCCTTATCTATAACAGGAGACTGCATGTGGACACTGTGTAAACATCCCCAGATGCAAAAACTGAAGTCACTGGTTAGTTTGGAAGACCACCATTTTATGCTATTTTCAAAGTAAAAGAAAATGTTATGCATTTCTCCTCACCCCCAATTTTAAATGCTTCTAATGTAGACAAAGTTTTTTGAGTATTTCTAAGCAATAAGTATTTTATGCATACCTGTTTGGAAGGTAGGATTTGCTCCTGGGTACATGTTGGGGGAATAGGCCGGGGCAGCTGCTGCATAGCCCATTGGGAAACCAGCTATGACAAAAGAAAACAATTCCAGGTTATTTTCTAGATAAGCAACACAATGTTCTCAGAGAATTTGTTGTGCATGATACTTTTTGACCAAAGATCAACAAAAGTTGCAATTTTTCGAAATTCATGTTACTACTAGTTGAGAAGAAAAGCTAAAAAGTCTAGTAAGCCACAGTTCCCATTTCTCAACACCCCCCTCCCGCTCCCCGAACACACTTTCAGCAAAAGTCTGAATTAGCCAGCTCACTAGTAACTGCAGTCAGATTGCAAGCTTTAATATTAAATAATCCAAAAGAATATCAAACACTGAAATGCATTAAGACTACTGAACTCAGAGTGAGCCATTTTCCCTGTGTAAAGAGAAGATATAGAAGTGTGAGTGACTCATTTCCTGGATCACAGTTTCCCAAATTGGACAGTAAAAGCCAACTTTAACCCTCCAAAATATCTTGTTTTTATTTAACCTAGATTGGTCTCTGCTTTTAGATATCAGTTATACTCCTATCGTTTCAACCACCCACAATGACACTCAGCAGTTACAATCTGTGATTCACTCTGGCAGAGTGGCAAAATGCTGTGTTGACACCTTGACACTGATATACACAATTACCATGACTAAACCAATGTCAAGAAAGACAGGAACCAAGTTCTAAGGTGATAATAGCATGTAGTGAAAGACAATCAGGGTGGACTGATTTAAATAATAATTTAAATTGGTAATTTAAACCAGCAAGCAGGAAACCTTGATTTAAATCATCCATTTCAATAGTGTTTTGCATTTGTATTTTGTAGTTATTTTCCTTGGTTGGTAACTATTAAAACATATTAACTTACAACTAAATACAGCCTTTACGCTAAATTTGATGCTTCTTTTTGCTAACCAGGAGGATACCTATATCTATACACTTATTAAGCATTAATTGCTTCAGTTACCTTTATTCAAATTCTTAATTTTTACATTTTTGATTATGTTAGAAAAGGATGCGTTTCTTCTTTACTAGATAACTTTTTACTTGTGATTTGTGTCAAGCAACTAAATGCACAAAAAAAGCATTTTAAGCTTTTTATTAAATAAAACTAGCTTAAATGTGCTGGATGCATAAGAAAATATTATCAAAACATGGTTTTCCTTTCAAAAATGATTAAACAAAGAAATGTTAGCAGCAGCCAGTGAAGTGACTGTTTTCGGTCCCCATGTCCTTCAAGATTTTAGCAGCTTTCATCCTCTCACTTTGTTTTTATTCATAGATTGGAGAGGAAAAAAAGCTTTCTTGCTTTTTCAACTCCCAACTGGTTTCTTAACTTTGAACCAGTCATTCAATTTGTTCCGTTCAATAAATTGGAAAGAAAATATTCTTTCTGCATCTGTAGTAGAGGGTACTGCTGGCAAAAGCTTGTTTGTCACTTCAACAAGCTTTGTTTCCAGGTGTTTAGCCAGTGACTTCCATCAGTTCAGTGGTTTGACTGTCTTAAAAAATTGGCAGCAAACATTACTGCTTTTTTTTGTATTAGATAATAATTTTAGGCCTTGACATACATTGTCAATTTCAAACTTTCGAAAGTTTCTTTTAAATCTGATTTTTAATTTTTTTTTTTGTTTTTATTTAAAAAAATATTTTTATCCATAGTGTCAACAATTGACTGAGGGTTACACTACTATGTTATTTCACTGACTTCAGGTGTTAATTAAAAAAAATGCTTTAATTATAACTTGCCACCTAACACCACTATTTTTAAGGTTGTTTGAGCTTTTCAATCCTCTGTCCTTATTTTATAGGTTTCGCTCCACAGTAAGGGTTCCTACTGAGCTAAAACAAGACACTCCTAGAGGAAATTACTCCTGTGAAATGTAAATAAACAGCACAACGTAAGTAGCAGATTAAACAACTTCTCCCCACAACCCACTAGTCTTTAAATCAAATGTTTTCATTCTTGACTACTCATTTGTTACTGTAATCCTGCCTAAGTACCCTTCTTAACCCTTTTCCCTATGTTTGGTATTTATGAAGATATCAGTGCCTTTAGATAAAGTAGAATGGAACACGCAGACAGATATCTTCTGTCTGCGTGTTCCATTCTATGCATCTGAAGAAGTGAGCTGTAGCCCACGAAAGCTTATGCTGAAATAAATTTGTTAGTCTCTAAGGTGCCACAAGTACTCCTTTCTTTTTGCAGATACAGACTAACACGGCTGCTACTTTGAAACCTGTCTTTAGATAAAGTGTGCCTTCTGAAAACAGAGACCAGTTCAGCACCAAAACATCCTGCTAAATTTAGCAGTTCTGAAGAATCAATCAGTGGTCTTATGAAAAAGGAGGCCAGGGATGTTTTAGTCATGCAGTGACTAAAAGTGTCTTATCTTTAATTAAACAAGTCCCAACCTTCATCATTTACTTAAAAAAGCATGTTTTGTACCCTTTAAACCTGAACTAGACAAGATATAGTAATTTAATTTAATCTGTCAATATACCATTTTACGGCATTAGATCTACATTTTATCAATTTAATTTAATTCATCCTGTTTAATTCCCTGAATGATTAATGAAATATGAAAAATCCATATTCATACAACACAAAGCTAAAAAAACCAACAAACAAAGCTTGGCACTAAATATATATTCAAACACTAAAAAGAAAACATTAGTAAAAGTTCTGAGGTTAGTGTCCTGTTTAAAATTAAATGATGAAATTGACAATTTAGGTTACTAACTAACTAAATGTACTATAATCTACTAAAATCAATTAAATTTGCTACATCAGAGAGTCATCAAGCTTTAATGGATTTACAGGGTGTATGTACTTTCTCTTATACAGTAAAGATTTTGCTTCAATTTCTTCTGGCTTCAGTTTAGCTAGCAGATGCAAAGAAAATACTCTATATTTGGACTAGTTCATTCACAGTTGAGAAATTGAGTTGAAAGAACAGCAACACTTGCCTTTGTTCATAGATTGGAAGAGAAAAACAAGTGGAAGGGGATGAGATCTACTAATTCTAAAAACGAAGTACAGAGGGGCCAGATTTTCCCTAGGTATTTAGGCATCTAAAAATGCATATAATACCAACTACCAATAGTAGTTGGTATTATATGCATATTACCTTTTTCATCCATAGATCCCGAAGTGCTTTACAAAGGCGATCAGTATCATGGGGAAACTGATAAGAACTTCTAAAAACCACATTAAGCACCTAAGCATATCAGGAGCCTAAATAACTCCCACTGATTTGAATGGGAGTTCAGCAACCTCTTGCTCAGGTGCTTCTGAAAAATCCCACTATGCACCTATCTGCATCTTGAGGCACCTAAATACCTTTGAAAATCTGGCCCCTGGTGATCAGAAACTATCAACTCACTAACTACAGTTAATATTTCCTTTGTTTAAATGAGTTTTAAACATGTGTTAAACTTTTTCTTTATGTATCCAGCACATTTAAGGTAATTTTATTTAACAAAAGACATTTTAAAATATTGATTTTGTAAGTTAATTCCAATTTCCATCTCACGTAGCCTGACAAATTCTAAGTAAAAAAAAAATCTAAAATATGTAATTCACCATTTTCTAAAAGAATAAACATACAAACTAGACTCTGAATAAACTTATGTTTAGCTATAGAATTGCTTAAACACGTGTGTGTGGGTATCTTGTATGCTCCTAGTTAGCAAAAAGTACCAAATGTAGTGTTGTAAAGATTACATTTGGTTGCAAATATGTTTTTATGGCTATACTAACCAAAAAATAAACCTTTTCTTAGGAAAATAATTGAAGTACAAATGCAAAACACAAATTTAAAATCAATTATTTAAATGTTTGCTGCTTGCTGATTTAAATCATGACGAAAATCATGCACTCTGGATGGAAAGCAAATTAACTAGCATCAATTAATGTAGGCAATATAATAACCAATGAAAATGATGGCAAAGGTTTTCAAAGACTGTTTCTATAGCCATTCAACTCTGCAATATTCTGTACAGCAACTGTTGAACTATTATTTTAAGTTATTTCAATAACCTTAAGTCTTACTAGCCACATGAACTTTGTTATAGTGAGGGCTGGCAATTTCCCGTGGAAAAACTAGTTTAGGATAGGGTGCTGGTAAATACTAGCTTAAACCTGGTTCAAAGAGAGAAACTGGGAAAAACTTACATACTTTTTACAATTGAGCTTGCAATTACAGTAAATCTGTAGGCCCAATTATTACAACAGTACCTCAGTGCAAGAAAGATATGTAAACTGAAAGAGATTCAGAGAAGAGCAACAAAATTAGGGTATTGGAAGAATTTAATTATGAGAAGATTATTTTTATGCATAATTTGGCTAAGCAGGGACACACATACCTATAAATATTTGACGGATGTGAACACAAATAATGAATTTAGTATGACTGAACAGCATATAAATAACCAGGATGAAACTAAAACAAGTTCCCAACAGTAACACTTGTTAAACTGGAGAACAGTTTTCAATGGAAGTTATAAATCCTATCACTTCAAACATTTAAAAGCAGAATGGACAAAGCAACTAAAAAATCATGTATAGAGCAATTCCTGCCCTAAAAGGTCTATACTTCTCATATCTATAGTTATTTAATAGAATAATTACTTGAAATACTTCATGGCAGAAAAAACATTTATATATTTCTTCATTTCATACACTCTCACTGAACTCTGGATAGGCTTAACTAATGGTCTTATGTTACTTCTGAACTACTGGAGGCTTCAGAAGCCACGCCTACTCAAACTAAACATTGAGTTGTGAAAAAGGAGGCGGGCTTGGGGATGAGAAACAAAGAAAACCTCAGAACAGGAGTGGGAAAAAAAATAAGGGAAATACACAGAACCCTATAGTTTTGGCATCACTAAAAATATTGTTTAAAAATCTTTGGCACTGGAACTCTGTGTCAATTTTTGTATTGTATTTGTGGCACACAACTGCCAATGCCTAAGAAACAAAAATTGTAGAATATAAAAGGAAATTTTCAGCCAACAATGGGCCAATAGTAGACCCAATTGTTTCCCTTCAGGCCATTAATTTTAAATTTAGTTACAGTCCTTAAGGTAACTTTTTTCCAGACTAGTTTAAGGAACACAAAATACACCTCTACCCCGATATAACACGAATTCGGTTATAACACGGTAAAGCAGCGCTCTCGGGGGGCGGGGCTGCGAACTCCGGTGGATCAAAGCAACTTCGATATAACGCGGTTTCACCTATAATGCGGTAAGATTTTTTGGCTCCCGAGGACAGCGTTATATCGGGGTAGAGGTGTACAACACAAAATCAAGGCACTTAAATGCCCCATCTAGTCTTGATGTGATCGGCGTAATCTATATGAGGGCTGAAGGACCAATCGATCAAGGTGATCTATTCTTGAATTATAAACTTGGTGAGTGAAAGTTATCAGAAGGTATGGAAACATTCACAAGTGAGTCACCTGAGTGTCTACACTGACAGGGTTATAATGAACAACCCACAGGCAACCCTTTGAAAGAAAACTTAAGATAGAAATTCAGTTGTTTACCTGGATAACCAATTCCTTTGGCATTTGCATAGGGAACCCCAGAAGATCCAGGGCTATAAACAGGATTCATGATTTCAATAACTGAAAAGGAAACAAGAACATAATCAGATCTACTTAGCCAAGTATATGGAGTCCCTAGAATCCTTGGAGTTTAAATGCAATTGGTGGGAAGGAAAGTGCACAATTCTACCACCCATCCCAGCCATCCACATTTTAAACTGCAGCTAGAGAAACACACTTGTGCTGCTCCTGTATAAAAGTTTCTAAGAATGTTTTTTTCCCTGAGTCCACTAAAGGAGTGGTTACTAATGGGCAAAGTATTTCCCCACTGGTCAAGTGTATTATTTTCAAATTGTACCCATATCCCCTGCTCTCCAAGCGAATATAAAACCACCTAACTGTCTCAAACTAGCATTCGCTACCATCAAAACACTGCTTCAGCTTCCCACTCACCTTGCCTTCTCCATTTATGTGCACCTCCATCTCAATCTTGACTTTTTTCCTCCTCTCTCTTCCTTTACTGTAAGATTATGTCTGTGATACTCAAACAGTTATACTCTGCTACTGCTTTTCTTGGCAGTGTGGAGTAAGGGCTATAAAATAAATGAATCTCTTTGGCATGGGATTCTAATCTCTCAAATTTAAATTCCTGAAGCATCAATAGCCTAAGAAATAAATAAAATAGCTGGAAAAAAAAAGTTCTACACTAAATGGCTCAGAATTAGTATGAAAACAGCACCACAATTCATATGTTCAAGTTTAGTCTACATCAGTACTATAAGTGCCCAAATCTCAAAAGTTGCCATAATTAGCAGAAAAGCAAAAAGCTTAACAGGTACAGAAGCTAAACCATGCTCCCACTTCTAGAGCTGATATTGTACGTCAAGGTTGAGGTATTAGCAAGACTGCAAAGAAGCTTCACTAATTTTTCTATTCATAAGGGATTCCAGTCTCAAACGGTCAGTTTGGCACATTCTAAAGTTAAAATTCTCTTTATTAGAGATTTTTAGAAACAAGATTATGTGTTGAGTTAATTGTACTGCTTTTAATTTTTAAAAAACTGAGTTTCTTCAAGTATGACACATTAAAACAGAGGACTGGGATAAATATGTTTGCAGGTATGTCTCCTCTTTTCTGTCCATTAGTGCTAATCCTGCACTTAAAATAATATCTGGTAGCAAAACATGCATGCTACCAGAACTAGCCATTCCATTATTCTTGAGTCCCTCCCTCTCTCTATTGCTTGACCTGTAAATGTTATATGAAGGGACACTCTACTAGTTTAGGCCCAAAACTGTCACAAAACTGAGTATAGAACATTTATGAAGCTAAATAAAGGGCTTCAGTAATTAAAACATTACCTGCATGTAGCGGGGTGATTACCCACTCCTACCCTGAGGGGTTTAAAGACAGCCCTGAGGGAGGGCTGTTGGAAGGGAAAAAGCTGCTAGGCTGATTGGGGAAGTAGCTGCAGCTGGGCCACGCCCCAATCAGGCCTCAGCTGGCCCTATATAAGAGGCTGGGAGCCAGGCGCTCAGCAGTCTTTCTCTGTTTGTAGAGAGGAAGATGGATCTGGCTGCAGGGAGCTAGAGGCAGGGTACCTGAGCAGGGCTGGGGAGCTCCAGCCTGGAAAGCCCCAGGCTGCAGCTTAGCAAGAGGCAAATAGGTACTGGGGGTTGCAGAGGGCAGCCCAGGGGTAGGCAAAGGCAGCAGGTCCAAACCCAACCTTGCTGATGATGAGTGGCTTATACTGCAGTCTGCCCCAGGGAGCGGGGGCTAGTTGGTGACTGGCAGTGGCCTTATTCTGAGGTGAGGTGGGGATAGTGGGTGGGGGTTCCCTGGGGAGGGGAGACCCAAAGAGAAAGGGGGCACTGGGGTTCTGGGAGGGACACTGGGCCAGTGGCAAGGCAGATCACTAGTCTGCAGGGGGTGCTCTGGAGCTGAGATGAGCTAATTCCCATGGATGACCTGCAGGGGTGAGTCCAACTCCTTACACTGCAGCATAGGAGACTTACTGTTATATTACTGTAAGGGAGTTAAAGTTAAACTGGCCAGTGTAGCTTCACTAGCTAACATGAAAGAGTGCAAAGAAATAAAAAAGTAGAAATAGAAAAAAAAAAAAAAAGTCAGCCAGATTTTTAAGATGAGAATAGTTCTTTGTCAAAATATTGTTTCTAGAACAGTGGTCTCCAAAGTGGGGTGTGCATGGCAGGAGGAGGTGTGTGTTTTGTTTTGGTTTTTTTTTTGGCGCTTTGGCAGTTTGGGCAGGAGTCAGAGTGGCTTTTTTTTTTTTTTTGCTTCAGCAAAAATGGTAGAGCTGGTGCAGCAGGGAGTGCGTGCTCACATTTTTTTACTGATAGGGGTGCGCAATCAAAAAAGTTTGGAGACCACTGTTCTAGAACACAGAACCATAAGCAAAGAAGCCCCTTGAACTTGTGCAAAAAGAAATTTACTATGCTTTCTGCAAAACCATCTGCTGTATCATTTTTAATAGAAAATCCAAAATACCACAGAAAATGGTATTCTACAAACTCGACTATTTTATCTAATAGCAATACAAACATTACTTTAAAAAAAAACAGGCAAACCTCCAGCACAGAAAAATCAAATCACTTAGGATATTGGAAAAAGTCCATTTAAAAGTTAAATGACATTAACCCACAATTTACATTGCCTAATATTAAGGAACATTACCTGCAGGTGCATTTACTACCTGCCAAACTGTAAAGGAGCAATTTGACCTAATCCCCATTAGCAACAACATTCTACAACACTTCCTGACTCATCCACTCCTCCATGTACAAAGCTGTGGGATATTTTCCTTACAATCACAGTAAGGTTTAAGGATTAATATTTCACTAGCCTGTGCCATTTTACTTCGTCTTTCTCACTCTTTTCTGAATCAATTAACTTTCATCCACTTACACATCAGCACATCTTTCATGTTGTACGTTGCCTTCCTATTTCCATCTTTTTCCCCCTTTTAATGTTTTAAAGCATTCTGCCTTTTTAGGCCTTAAAAAAAACCATGAGATCCCAGCTTTCCTTTAGTCCTGGTATTTCCAAATCATGGAGTGAATGCCCTGGGAGATGGCCACTCCTCTGTGTTCACACCTGCAGGGCTATCACAAATCTCTCCCTCTCTCTGGTGCCCTCGCCCCGTGACCTCCTCTTTCAAAGTGCAGCTCTCCCCAATCTCTATAGTAACTGGGAGGCAACAGTTCTAAGTAACATGGGAGACTTCTGGGGAAGGGAAGAAGCAGTAAGAGTATTCAATGTAAGGGAGAGGGAAACAAAACCTGCATTGTCATAAATAAGCAATAGAGCTGAAGAACATGCAACCTGAGAAAAGATGGAAAAACAAACCCAGAAAAGAGAATTCTAGAGATACTGGACAAAAACAGGCGAGACAGCAGCTCCAGCAGGGCATCACATCAGCTGAAATGCAGAGTAAGGAGCCAGCACAAAGGGGACTCCAGACAAGTAAGGTAAGGAACCATGGCCTTAAACTGCATCACACAGCCTCCTTGTGGGAAGTACAGAGCTGTTATTAATACTATGTCAATTCTTCCATTTCAGAGACATCCATACTTGGAAAGTTTGTACACATGTATATGAACCAATGTAGACCCATTTGTGCTAACAACAAAGGAAGCTGCAGTTGGACACAGCAGGTGTGTGTACAATTGTGGTGTTTAACCAGCAGCTTCCACCACTGGATGGAGCTATACCAGTATAGAAAAATGCTTACACATTTTCCAAGCATGGACTGAGCCTTAGACACCACTCAACTCAGTGAAAAACAATCCTTTCCACATCTTCAGTGAAGGACCCAACTTGTTTGTGTGCTAGAAATCACGCAGTCTCCTCCTGGGTGTTGCAAACCCCCAGCCTTTTCTATATTGCTAGTCATTTTCAGTCTATATTCAGTCATTTTATGTGTAGCTTATTCTGAAGTATGCTTGGAAATGTTTAATAGGGAAAAATTTATTCCCCCCTTTTATTTTTTTTGCTCAAGTTCGCCAAATCTCACCTTTGGGCAGAGCCTAACATTCAAAAAACTTCATTCCTCTCCATCTCCCCTCTTTCCCTCCATTTTTTTTTAAACAATCCCTCTCCCTCCATTTTTTTTAAGTGACTTCGCAAAATTGCACAGGAAATCTGTGACACGGGTGAGAATAGCACCCACACCTGACTTCCAGTCTCATGCCTTAGCCACAAGTCAGGCAGGAAGAGAAGTGAGCTCTGAACTCAGGATTTTGCAAATCCGTAAATGAATTCCTTTTCAAATATGTTAAATCAGTCTTCTCATTTGTAATTTTCTTAATAGTAGTTCTAAATTTTTTTAAGGTTGAACACAAACTAACATTATCTAAAGTCTCTATTTACACTCGTATCTGAGAACACAAAACATTATGATTATACATTACAGGAAATTTTAAAATTACAGGAAGCCATTTAAATGTGCAGATTTACCCCATCAGTTAAGGCAAGTTGTGGTACAAACTGACAGGCAATGCCAAGAACCTGAGGGTTAACAAGCATCGTTTGTAATTTATTTACATTATGTATTTACACCTCTGGAAAGGTATAATGCAAAAGAGCTGGAAGATATTTTTCCTCTTTGAGAAGAATGGCAATGAATCTCTATATATAAGAAAAATGTTAACCTACTCACTTAAGTACTTCTTCATGTAGAATTTCCATTAGTTACATTTGAAGCAAAGTCTTCTCAGACTAGCCCAGTGGTACTCTGATCACACATAGAATCAGAGTTTAAGAGGACTTTTTTTGTGTGTGTGCCTCATGAGATAATTGAGGAGATGTTATATAATTTGTGAGAAAGTACAGGTAACTGAACCTCCAGTTCCTTGATAATCAGAGTCCTACAAAAAAAATAAACTACCCTCTCTGCTGATTTTGGGCACTTAACAGATTTTCAGGTGCAAGGGAAAAAATGAATACTTAAAGAACAAAACCACTTCAATATATACGTATACTTAAGACAACATTTCTTCTTTTTGGTAAGTTATTAGCCTACATGGGTGCTTTCCTAACATTAGTTTTTCACTTTATTCTGCACACCTTTTAGAAATGAGAGGCAACTGTCATGAGTTCCCCACAAAGATGGAACCTAAAAAAGCATTTCTAATTCTTCCTGTCTTTCAACCTGGAAGTTGAAATACATAATTAATGTCACAAAATGCAAAGGTTGGGAAGCTGTGTTTTATGACACGTCCAATTAGAAGTCTCACTATGAAATTGTATTAATTCAGACAAAATCTAGTAAAATTAGATAACATATGCTAGTAGTAAGCATCTTAAATTGATTGTAAAATAATACATATTAAAGTGCAGTTCTACTATTGATCTCTGAAGCAACAGCACGTTACTAAAGGGAAACAATTTCTCAGATGGAATAAAAAAAATTTCAGCAGAAAGTTGTGATGTCTGTTTCAAACACTGCAGGGGAATGTCTAATTAAAGCACAATTCATCTTTTTTTTTTTTAAATCATAGAATCCTTTCTAGGGTTGTAGATTTGATCAAACTTTTTTTTTTTAAATAATTCAAACAAAATAGTAAAGCCTATTGAACATGGTACTGTTTTGATAAGCTGCACACTCAGCTACTGCAAGCAGATTCTTCAGCATGCACTGGAAATATTTACTGTAACTATTATTTACATAATTTTGCTGACTCCGACCACCTGGTAGCATGCAAATGTCATTTTCATAAACGTCTTGGCAAGACTGTCATTTAGCCTACATCAGTACAGGACTAACAATATGTTGCAGGACAGCTTAAAACGTACCCTCTTCTCTGACTTTATTCTAGGGCAGTAACTTTCTCTGGGGGCAGGGAGAAAAATTAGGGGCAAAATTAAAAGTAGACTTGGTCAAAGACAGGAACATGGCTGACAACCACTGGATGCCTTGCCCATCACTTGGCCGCTAGCGTCCTCAAGGCCAAGCCATTTTTGACACCTGTTACAGAAAGTGCCCAGGAGCCTCCTCTGCCTGTGGATCGTGCTTGATGGCTGCTGGAAGCGGCCTGCCTCTTTGCTAGCGCCCGAAGGGTTTTCAACCGCAGGGGAGGTGGCTGGGGCCGGCAGTCACCAGGGCTCCCATCGGCGCTGGATGCTCGGGGCGGCGGCCGCTCCGAGGGGCAGTGCCAGCTACGTTCCGGGCTGCGGTATCGCCGCCAGGCTCACGGAGCCGGGGAAGCGCCAGAGCCGTGCGGGGACGGCGCCGCGGGGCGCAGCCACTCCGGCCCGGGGCCTCCCCGCCTGAAGGGCAGAGCGCCCGGCCTCCCAGAGCGCGGCGGCGGGCGCTGGAGGAGGCGCCCGCGCAGCCGGGCCGGAGTCCCGCCGCTGTCAGCCCCGCCAGCAGGAGGGGGGGAGCGCAGGGGCCGGACGTAGCGCGGGCGGGGGGGAGGGGCGCACCCGGGTGCACGGAGGTAAATAAACCCCGGGCCGGAGACGATCCCCCCCCCTTCCTGGACATCGGATCCGCCGGGGCCCCCCAGGCTGTGCGCGTCCAGCAGCCCAGCGGCAGGCCGCGGGGAGGCAGCGGCTCCGGCCCCATTCTACACCGGGGGCGGGAGGAGTCCGGAAGCCGGCGCCATCCGCACTCACCGGGCTGCGGCGCTTCGTGGTGGCGGCCCCGGCTCTGGCTCTGTCGCTCGGTGTCTGCTGCGGCCGGGGGAGGGGGCGGAGCCTCGCAGTTCGAGGGGGCGGGAGCTAGAGCGGCGGCTGGGGCCTGCGCCTCCTGCTGCTGTGTGTCCCGCGGCACCTTCCCGTCCCTCTCCGGAGAGCTGCGCAGCAACTGAGCAGCCGCACGTCACTTCCGCACGGGGGGGGGGGGGCCCCCGGCCCTGAAGTTACAAGGGAAGGAAAAGGAGGGTCACGTGCCAGGAAGCGTCTGAGGCGCCCCTGGCACGTGACCAGAGAGACCCCCCCAGTAAAATCATGGACATTGGGGCTGGAGTGATTATCACCTTTGAACTGCAAAAAACCCACCCACCCCCCACCCCAGACAAGCCTAGGGCAACCCCAACCACAAGGCAACTCCACAACCCGCCCCCCCCCTCCGACAGCCACTTGTAGTAGCTAGAGCAATAACGCAGATGTCAGATCAATAACATGGTTTTCTGATCTTGGCCATCTTTCTCGAGATTATTTTTCCCCAAACTGCATTGATTGGATATATTCACTACATGCCTGAATGTGAACACTTTGGCACTTCATACAAAAAGACAATCCATTGGGTCTGTTTCTTGAATTTGTCTATGCTGTTTCCAGCCATTTCTTATTTTTAGCAGCAACATGGTAGCATCTTTAGCTGGACGCCGAAACTTTTAACGTTTGATAACCGGTGTATGGTGATAATAATGAAAAGTTTTTAGACCTACATTAAAAAAAGTGGCAGATTAAATTATTTTTCTGGCAACTGGCAAATCCATAAAAAGAATATAAAAACGGCCATAGTGGGTCAGACCAAAAGTCCATCTAGCCCAGAATCCTCTCTTCTGACAGTGGCCAATGCCAGGTGCACCAGAGGGAATGAACAGAACAGGTAATCATCAAGTGATCTATCCCCTGTCACCCATTCCCAGCTTCTGGCAAATAGAGGCTAGGGACGCCATCCCCGCCTATCCTGGCTAATAGCCATTGATTGATCTATCCTCCATGAATTTATCTAGTTCTTTTTTGAACCCTGTTATAGTCTTGGCCTTCACAACATCCTCTAGCAACGAGTTCCACAGGCTGATTGTGCGTTGTGTGAAAAAATACTTCCTTTTGTTTATTTTAAACCTGCTGCCTATTAATTTCATTTGGTGGTCCTAGTTCTTGTGTTATGAGAAGGAGTAAATAACACTTCCTTATTTACTGTCTCCACACCAGTCATGATTTTATAGACCTCTTTCATATCTCCCCTTAGTCATCTTTTTTCCAAGCTGAAAAGTCCCAGTCTTATTAATCTCTCATCATATGGCAGCTGTTCCATACCCCTAATCATTTTTGTTGTCCTTTTCTGAACATTTTTCAATTCCAATATATCTTTTTTGAGATGGGGCTACTACATCTGCATGCACTATTCAAGATGTGGGTGTACCATGGATTTCTATAGAGGCAATATGATATTTTCTGTCTTATTATCTATCCCTTTCTTAATGATGCCCAACATTCTGTTCGCTTTTTTGACTGCCGCTGCACATTGAGTGGATGTTTTCAGAGAACTATCCACAATGACTCCAAGATCTCTTTCTTGAGTGGTAACAGCTAATTTAGACCCCATCGTTTTATATGTATAGTTGGGATTATGTTTTCTAATGTGCATTACTTTGCATTTATCAACATTGAATTTCATCTGCCATTTTGTTGCCCAGTCACCCAGTTTTGAGAGATCCTTTTGTAGCTCTTCACAGTCTCCCTGGGACTTAACTATCTTGAGTAGTTTTGTATCATCTGCAAATTTTGCCACCTCACTGTTTACCCCATTTTCCAGATCATTTATGAATATGTTTAATAGGACTGGACCCAGTGCAGACCCCCAGGGAACACCACTATTTCCCTCTCTCCGTTCTGAAAACTGACCATTTATTCCTACCCTTTGTTTCCTATCTTTTAACCAGTTACCAATCCATGAAAGGACCTTCCCTCTTATCCCATGACTACTTACTTTGCTTAAGAGCCTTTGGTGAGGGACCTTGTCAAAGGCTTTCTGAAAATCTAAATATACTATATCCACTGGATCCCCTTGTCCACATGCTTGTTGACCCCCTCAAAGAATTCTAGTAGATTGGTGAGGAGTGATTTCCCTTTACAATAACCATGTTGATTATTCCCCAACAAATTATGGTCATCTATGTATCTAACAATTTTGTTCTTTACTATAGTTTCAAAAACCGGCCAGACCGCTCAAATTCTGGCCAGGAGGTAACCCTTGCTGGAAGGGGCCTGGAGAGGTCAGCTAGTCCAGCCCCTGTGCTGAAACGCGACCCCCACCCTCAGTCCATCCCTGATGGGGTTTGCCCACAGGGTTCAGGAACAATTTTTATAGTGTGGGGGGGTGATAATAATGGAAACCATCTATTTGGTGTTTGTTATTACTACTTCAAGCTAAGGGGCACGACAGCACCCCTAGTTCCAGCACCACTGAGTGTCCGACCTCTGCTTCAAAGCCTCCAGTGGTGGGGGCTCCGTGACCTCCCTTGGAAGCCTGGTCCAGTGCTTGTAACTATCCTTAGAGTTAGAGACTTTTCCCTAATATCTAACCTAAATCTCCCTTGCTGCAGATTATACCTATTACTTCTTGTCCTGCCTTCAGTGCACGTGGAGAATAATTGAGCCCAGTCCTCTTTATAACAGTCCTTAACATAATGGAAGGTTGTTATTAGGTCCCCTTCAGTCGTCTTTTCTCAAGACTAAATAAGCCCTGTTTTTGTAACCTTACCTCATGGATCAGGTTTGCTAAACTTTTTATCATTTTTGTTGCTCTCCTCTAGACTTTCTCCAATTTGTCCACCTCTTTCTGAAATTGTAGCTCCTAGAACTGGACACAGTACTCCAGTTGGGGCCCCAGTGCCATGTAGACAACTATCTCCTGTATCTTACATAAGATACTTCTGGTAATACACCCCAGAATCATATAAGCCTCTTTTGCAGCTGCATCACATTGACAACTCCTATTCAGTTTGTGGCCCACAAAACCCCCCAGAGTCTTCTCATCAGTACCACCATCTAGCCAGTTATTCCCCATATTGCAGTTGTGCATTTGATTTTTCCTTCCTAAGTGAAGTACTTTGCACTTGTCTTTACTGAATTTCATTTATTGAATTCAGACCAATTTTCCGATTTGTCAAGGTCATTTTGAATTTTAAACCAGTCCTCCAAAGTGCTTGTAACCCTTTCCAGCTTGAACAACGAGGAGTCTGGTGGCACCTTAAAGACTAACAGATTTATTTGGGCATACGCTTTCGTGGGTAAAAAACCCACTTCTTCAGATGCATGGAGTTCAGATGAAGAAGTGGGTTTTTTACCCACGAAAGCTTATGCCCAAATAAAACTGTTAGTCTTTAAGGTGCCACCAGACTCCTCGTTGTTTTTGTGGATACAGACTAACACGGCTACCCCTCTGATACTTGCTTTCCAGCTTGGTGTCATTTTATAAGCGTACTCTCTACTCTATTATCCAAGTCATTAATGAAAATATTGAATAGTACCAGATCCATGTCTGACCCTGCAGGACACCACTACATACGCCCTCCCAATTAACAGCAAACCATTGATAATTATTCCTTGAGTACGGTCTTTCAACCAGTTGAGCACCCATTTTATAGTAATTTCATCTAGACCACATTTCCCTAGTTTGCTTATGAGAATGTCATTCGGAACTGTATCAAAAGCCTTACTATCTATGTATATCATGTCTACTGCTTCCCCCAACCTACTGAGCCAGTGATCCGATAAAAAAAGAACACTGAGTTAGTTTGGCATGATTTCTTCTTGATAAATCCATGCTGACTATTCCCTTATAACCCTATTATCCTCCGGGTGCTTATAAACTGATTGTTTAATAATTTGCTCCAATATCTTTCCAAGTATTGAAGTTAGGCTGACTGGTCTATAATTTCCAAGGTCCTCCTTGTTCCCCTTTTTAAAGGCAGGTACTGTTTGCCCTTCTCCAATCTTCTGGGACCTCTCCTGTCCTATATACTTTCTCAAAGATAATTGCTAAGGGCTCCAAGATTGCTTCAGCTAGTTTCTAAAGTACCCTAGGATGAATTTCATCAAGCCTTGCTGACTTGAATACATCTAGTTTATCTAAATATTCTTTAACCTGTTCTTTTCCTATTTTGACTTATTCCTTCCCCCTGATTGTTAATATTAATTGTGTTGAGTATCTGGTCATCATTAACCTTTTTAATGGAGACTGAAGCAAAATAGGCACTAAGTACCTCAACTTTATTCATGCCATCAGTTATTCCCTCTCCTTCCCCGCTAAGTAGAGGACCTACGCTTTCCTTTGTCTTTCTCTTGCTCCTAATGTATTTAAAGAACCTCTTCTTATTGCCCTTGACGTCCCTCGCCAGGTGTAACTCATTTTGTGCCTTAGCCTTTCTGATTTTATCCCTACATACTTGTGCTGTTATTTTGTACTTCTCCTTATCAAGTTGGCCATGTTTCCACTAGTTGTAGGGTTCCTATTTGATTTTCAGGTCATTAAAGAGCTCCTTATGGAACTATATTGGCCTCTTACTATTCTCACTATCTTTCCTTTGCATTGAATAAGTTTGCAGTTGCACCTTTAATATGGCCTCCTTGAGGACTGCCAGGTTTCTGAACTCTTTTCCCTTAGATTTTCTTCCCATAGGACCTTCCCTACCAGTTCTCTGAGTTTGTCACCCAAATTAATGCATCTGAAGAAGTGCTTTTTTACCCACGAAAGCTTATGCCCAAATAAATCTGTTAGTCTTTAAGATGCCACTGGACTCCTCGTTGTTTTTATGGATACAGACTAACATGGCTACCCCTCTGATACTTGTCACCCAAATTGCCTTTCACCTTCAGATTCAGTACCAAGTCCTCTTTGTTGATGAGAATCAAGTCCAAAATGGCTCTTGTCCCTCCTCCCTCCCCCTCCCCCCCCCGCCCACTCAGTTACTTCCTCCACTTTCTGGAACAAAGAGTTGTCCCTGATTCATTCCAAGAACTTATGGAAAATTTTGTTTTGCTGTATTACTTTCCCAACCGATGTCTGGATAGTTAAAGTCCTCCATTACTACCAGGTCCTGTATTTTGGATAGCTGAGCTGGGAAGTGCGGCCT